GGGGGAGGGAGGGAGGCAAAGCTTGCTTCGCTTATCACTATTTTAGCTGAGAAAAGCATCTGAAACAACGTTTTTTTTTTTTCCCTCCAGCTTTGGGGAGCGCTGGGGGGAGAGCGGGATGCGGGAGTGCAGAGGGAGGAGCCCCCGGTCCCGCTGTCCTGTTTGGGGGAGGGAGGACCGGCTCGCCCTGCTCTCACCCCTTATCGCTGCTGTGTTTATTTTTGGGAAGCTCAGCCCTCCCAGCCAGCTGCTGGCGGAGTGGGGATGGTGGCAGGAAAGCATCACGGGAACACAGGGACGGGGAGGTGGCCCTGCAGTGTGTGGGGCAGGGATGGCTATGGGGCACCCGCGGCCACAACGCAGCTCCCGATGCTGTGCTGCTGCTCGGGGCTCAAACACGGGAGCACAGCAGTGATTGCTAAGCCCAGAGGTGCTGTGAGAGGTGGCACAGTGCTGTGCCATTGCTGGGTACAGTATGTCAGACTTTGCACCTCCACTGATCTTTATTGTACTGGTAAAACCCCATCAGGAATAAAGCCCCGTGGCTGTGCTTGGTCCAGGAGGGCTGTGCCATGCCCTGTGAGGTCTGTGCAGGGGTTTGGGCTGCACAGCTGAGCTCAGGGCTTCTCCAAGTAGCGATATTTCTTGCGCAGGACGGAGACCTGGTCCTTGAAGAGCACTGGGTCGAGGCGCAGCTGGGAGGACACGAGGGGCATGGAGCCAAACCAGTCCACCAGCTGGTTGAGGCAATCCTGCTGCTGGGAGAAACGCCGGGTGCTGCCTGCCGCCGTGTCCTTCACCTGGGCAGGAGGAGAATGCAGGGTGAAGGGTTGTGCCCGCAGCTGGGGTGTCTCTGAAGCCCAGGATGCCATCCTACCGGCTGAGTTGCAGCTTCTTTGTGCTGTTTCCACTGCGTGACCTTGATGGGAGGCAGCTTGGTGACAGCAGCCACCAGCAGGTTCATAAGGATGTCCTCGCAGGCGGTCAGTCTGTCCACCAGCTCCCGCAGCCCCGCGGGGAGGTACTCCGTGAAGAGGCTGTGGTAATACCTGTGAAGAATGAGGAGGGCAGGCTTCAGCCTCACAGCCCCACAGGGCCCTCCCCATCCACCCAGGTACCTGTGGTAGAAGGCGGCAGTGGTGAGGACGATGGAGAGCTTGTTGGTCCACCTGGAGGTGTAGCCCCAGCGCTTCTGCTCGGGGTCCCAGAAGTGGCTCCATGCAGAGAAGCCCACGATGCGTTCAGGGAAGCTGCGCCACACCACAAAGGCAAAATCCACCTGCAAAGGGCAGGGGATGGCATAATCTCAACCCACAGGGACTCGTGAGAGGAGGCTGATGGCCGCCCCATTGCCTGTCCCTGAGCTTTGGGATATGGGGACAGCACTCCCTGCCAGCTCTGCAGTGACCACCACGCATCCTGCCCAGATCCATGGGGCTGGGAATTGCTCACCTCACTGGTGGAGAGGCTGGTGTGCTCATCCAGGCTGAGCACTGCGTCCGTCCCAATGGCTGCGTATGGGAAGAAGCGGTCGCTGAGCTGCAGCAGAGGTGGGAGTTCAATATGGGATGTACTGTGGGGTGTGTACCCCAGCTCCCTGCATCCTGCTCTGTGTACCTTCGTCCTGCCCTGGATGATGGTGAGAGGCACAGCAGTCTGTGGCCACGTCCCACTTGGAGGCGGTGGCTTCTCGCAGCTCCACAGCACCAGGATCTTTGGGAGGGGGGAAAGGCACAGTGGAGGGGCATTCCCTGGAGTCTGTTATCAGTGTTTGCAAGGCAGCTGAGGCTGAACCCTCCTGGTCCTGCTGTGCGACCATCTCCAGCCCACTCTCCACATAGGGCTGCACCTCTTTCATCCCAAAAACATTACACCAGGATTTGGACCAGCCTCAGAATAAAACCATAAGTGATCCAGTTGTTGCTGCAAGCAGGGGACATTGAGGGTGACACGATCACTGCCAACCCCCTCCCACCCGAATCCCACTCCAGCCCTTCCCAGCCCCATCCCTCCCCACCTGCGCACAGTACTGGGACCTGGAAACGGCCTGGATGAGCTTGAGGGTGGGCTGGGAGAGGGAACCCAGCGGGGGATCAGCCCGGAGCAGTGCTGTGAACTTGTCAGAAGGGCCAGAGCCTGCAATGTGGGGGAAAAGGAGAGGTGTGGCAGCAGGCATCGGGCACACAGAGCATGTTGTGGCACAGGGTCCTACCGTGCTGCAGGTAGTAGAAGGGAAAGTCCCCGAGGTGCGTGGAGAAGTCAGGCAGTGCCAGCAGCCCCCCAGGCAGTGAGTTCCAGAGGATGCGGGATCGCGAGCGGTGCGGGAGCAGCCGATCCCGAATGATCTGTGTGAGGACATCAGCACACCGAGGTGGTCCTGGTGGCCGGGGGGGCTTTTTGGGGCCAGGCTCACCTCCAGTGTGGTGTGCACGATCTTGTCGACAGAGGAAAAGTATGCGTCCCACAGGAACTGAGTCTGCTGTTGGAATGCCAGCACGCGCTCCGGGCGGATGCAGCGGACGGCAGAGGGGATCTGCAGGATGGGAGGGATGGGGTTCTCATCTCAGACCCCAGATCAGGTCAACCCCTGGTGCTGGACATGGGGCAGCACCACAGTACCTGCAGGAGAAGTCGCTCACTGCCCACCACGGCTGCTTTGCCCCAGTCGATGGCCTCAGAGAAGGGCAGCTCCCAGCCGTCGCTCAGCAGCACTGGGATGCAGGCAGCCTGCGCAGGACCCCATGAGCACAGGGACACCGGGGATGATCCCTCATGCCCTCGCAGCCCCCTGGTACCTGCAGTGCCTCCAGGAAGCGGAAGGAGCCCAGACGCCGCCCTCGGGGCACGATGCAGAAGGTGGAGTTGTGCAGCAGTTCCTGGTAGTCAAACCTGGCAGGGGAAGGGGAGTCAGGCGTGGGCTCAGCACCATCCGCTCCCCAGCAATGAAGCACAGTGCACAGTCAGCACCCAAATCCCCGAGCCCCAAAACTGCATTGAGTCCTGGCACTGCTCAGGGGGGGCTGCAGGCAGTGCATCCCCCTGGCTGTGAAAGCCCCTTCTGTGCTGCTGCAGGGAAAGGCATTCACAGAGCCCTGCGACCGCATTGGAAAAGCCAATATTGACGTTTGGGTGGGACAGACCCTGTCTGTTCCTGCACATAAAGAGGATGGGTCCTGGGTGGGATGGGGGGGATTGCGAGGCCAAAGCGATGTGGGATATTGCTGACCCCAAGGGGAAGGTCCCCTGGACCCAGCTGTGGTGAGGATGTGGGGTCAGCACCGGCCACTTCCAGGCTGGGGGAACTGATGGGGTGGCTGTGAGGTAAGGATGAACCCCCCTGTGTGTGCTGCAGCATCCCTGCAGGGAGCCAGCCCAGCGCTGAGACGTCAGCAACACCAACCTTTAGGAACAAAATGCACCTCCTGAGAACCCATCTGACCAAAAACTCCATGAACACGCTCTGCCTCTGCCACATCCCAGGGATACCCCACCGCCACCTGCCCCACGGGAACGCAATGTGTCCCCAATGGCCGGGCATCCTTCCCTCGCAGGCGGCCGTGGTGGGGAGCCTGGCGCCGGCCGGGCTGCGGGGCCGGCACCTCCCGATAGAAACACTCAGCTCCTGACGCACTGTGGTTTCCGGGCAATCGAGCCGGCAGGGCTTCCTTGTTTTGTTAGGGCCGGGCCGGGTGCCCACCGTGCTCCCTCTGCACGGCCCCTGTGCAGCTCCGGCTGGGCTCGGTGCCACGGGGGACCCGCGGCTGCAGGGAGCCCTCCCCGAGGCGGCGGTAGCAGGGCAGGACCGTGGCATGGCCACAACTGCCCTTTATCCAGTACAGAACGGGTTTGTTCTGGAGTGAGGGGGGCGATGCAGCCCTGAACAAGGCTGGCTTCTTCTCCTGTGGTTCAGTGGCAGGGCTGCTTGCCTGTGTCCCCAAGCAAACAGGGACATCTCCAAACCTCAGAGCGCCCTGTCCCTGGTGTGCTGTCCCCACTGCCCCTTTGCCACTGTCCCACCTGAGGACATCTGCACACATCCTTGGCTGGGTGCGATGGAGATGCTGATGCCTTTCTACCCAGGTGTCCCACAGGGACAAGTGGGACAAGACACATGGTCACAAGGAGGACACAGCCGTGTGCCACGTGGTCACCATCAGTCTGCTCTCTAAAGCTGTCCTGGGCGAGGTGTAAATCCCCGTGTATCACAAACAGCATTAGAGGATTACCTGGGCTGGGTGGAAGGGGGATTTCCCACCCCATAGTGCAGGACTGACCTTGGGTCCCATCTCACTGGCCCACCACATGTCCCACTGCCCCATCCCCAAGAAGGCCCCACCATGAGGGCTGATCCTCCTGAGCCTCCCTGAAGCCCTGGCTAATCCAAGTGCCTGCAGCCCTGGCTCCACTTTTACCTCCCAGCACCTCCTAAGATACTTTGAGGATATTTCCCATCAGTTCTCGTGTGGCCATGAGCTGTTCCAAAGCTGCAGGCAAGGAGCCCACACTGTGATGTCCACACCAGGATGCCCAAGCACCCGTTGGTTTTATGGGACTTGGAGCTGAGCTTGGGCTGGGGGGAAGTTTCAGGCTCATCTCCAAAATAAACATTTATGTTAGGGGAGGACAGCAGAGGGGAGTAGAAAAGCATCATTCATCGGTGTTAGGAAAAAGAGAAATCGTATTAGGAGCAGCAGTGGCGACTGCAGATCAGAACTGCTCTCACCAGATTGCTCCAACTTTAATACAGAATGGATCAGCCTCAAACCACCACCACCTTACAAGACGGAAATGAAACCAGGAGAGCCTCAGACTGTCCCCATTCCCTGTGCACACCTACAGAGCCTCCCCCCCACCTGGCTCCAGCCCCATCCCACTCACTTTTCATAGTCCACGTTGTCCTGGTCACAGCGCGTGTCCTTGTGCCTCTCCCAATCCTTGCCATGCCTGCAGGTGGTGAGCGACACGATGTCCCTCCCATTGTGGATGTGGTGCAGAGCATTCCTGGTGCCAGAGCCGATCCCGGTCAGGTAACGTTTCCCCTTGAACACCAGCAAATATTTCTTTTTGGGGGGCACCGAGTTGTGGTGCAGCCACCCGCTCTGCCCGCCGCGCTGCGGATGCTCCCTGGGGAAAAGGGGGATGGAGACATCAAAACCGGGCCTGAAGTTCTTGCTGTGGAAGCTGGCCTTGGCCAGCATGGCGTGGCCGATGTCAAAACCCAGCTCCTCAGTGTAGTTGGGCCAAGTGCCCGCATACAGGTTGAAGATGAGGTGGTTGCGGCCGCTGTTCCACAAGGGAAAGGAGCGGATCCTCTGCTCCACGCTGCGGATGTAGTGAGCAGAGAGGGGGTCGCGGTCCAACGTGTCGATGCTCAGCACGAAGAGACAGGCTTCCTCGGGACGTGGGGTGTAGTAACGCGAGCTCTCGATGGAGGTGAGGATCTTGCTGTAGCTCTCCGACATGGGCTCACCGTGCTCCCGCGGGTACGTGAACACCTTGAAGCCATTCTGGCAGCGGGAGGCGTCGAAGCAGCTCTCCATGCGGCACCGGCTGCCCTGGGATGTGCTCAGCTGTGCCGCCCGCAGGGCTCGGGGTGAGGGCTGTGCCTTGTCTCCACTGCCCTGCAGCTCCGTGGGCTCCGCAAAGCTGTGCAGGAGGGCACGATCCGCCCAGCGGGGCCAACTCCTGCGGGCTGCGACGTTCCTCCTGGGAAAGAAAGCAAAACGACGCAGCTGCTCTCTTCCAAAGAAGAAAAGCAGAAGCCAAGAGGCGAGGAAAGTCAGGAAAATGTATTTCTTCCTGGTCTGCATAGGTTCACGAGCTTCTCATCAGGCTCGGACGGGTACTGCGGTCCGGTGGAAAGAACGGTGTCCCCGACCCCAGGCGGAGCGGCTCCTGACGCTCACTGCCCCGCAGTGTGGGGATGGGGGACCCCGCGATCCTCCTTCCGTGGGTTTCCCACTGCCTCCCCTCCAGCGCAGCGTTCCCTTCTCTCCCGGGCTCGGTGCAGCGACGGTCACATTTCCCTCTGCCGTCTGGCCCAGCTTCAAATCCCTAGGGAGGGAGCGAGGTCGCATGATCGCTTCCCTTCCAAGCGGGTCAATCCCGGCGAGACTCCCCCCGCAGCCTCCGGGAGACAACCCCGGCTCACCGCCGCTCCCGTACCTCAGCTGCTCCTCCGCCGTCCCGGCACCGGTGCCCGCTCTCGGTCGATGCTGCCCGCGGGATCCGGCCGTGCCGCAGCCCCGGCTCCACATCCCTGACGCGGTCGCACGACGGGGGCCCCGCGCTGCCTTAACGCCGCCGTGGGACGGCTGTGGGGCGGTCCCCGCACTCCATCGGCCCCGCTCCCCGGAGGGGGTCCCACCGCGTTCCGCCGCTCATTGCGTCGGGGGCACCCCCCCTTCCCAGCGCCTTGTTGTGCCTCCTGGGGGTGTCACTGTCCTCGGCAGTGTCCCCCTGCTGTCACTTCATCAGTTGGGCTGCCCGTCCGTCTTCCTCCCAACAAACAGCCACCGCCGCGCTGTTTGTGCCCCTCCGGGCTGCTGACACCCCGAGCCAAGCTGCGTGTCCCCCCTCACGCTGTTTCCTCCCCCCCCACGCTGTCTGTCCCCCCGGCAAGCTCTGTCCCTCTCTCCCCCCGGTGCCGTCCCCGTGTCCCTTCACTTGCTCTTGTTCCCCCCTCCCGAGCTGTCACTTCCCCCGTTGTCCCCCCCCAGCCGCATCTGTCACTCGGCCTCCCGCTCCCCCCGCCACCGAGTCCCCGCCCCCGCTCTCCCATTGGCTGTCCGAGCCCAAGTGGGCGTGGCCCGCGGCACCAAAAAGGCGCGCCCCGGAGACATCGCGGCGCGCCCACGTGGCCGTGCGGGTTCCCCCATCCCGGCGGGGTCTGTGCGAGGGTCTCGGAGCCCATTCGGTGTGTATCCGTGCCCTCACCCAGCCCCGCAGTGCTGCCATCACCGCGTCCCACGTGGGAGTGGGGCACCCTCGTCCCGCCTACCGGAGGTGAGCCCCGGGGCACGGCGGGCAGGCCGGAGCTCGTAGACCCCACCCCTCCCGGCAGCCCAGGCGTTGAAACCGAACCGTGGGTGTAACAACGCGGCCGGCCTCAGCCCGCGGGGATGCGGGGCGGGGAGCGGAGCGGTTGGCATGCAGCGGGAGTGGCACCGCCACAGCCCTACCGGGCCCACACCTGCCTCAGTTTCTCCGGGGTGGAGCAGCGCGTGGGTTGCGTGCATAGGAAACTGTCAGGGATTATTATTATTATTTTTAAACCAAATCTTTGGCGATTTGCCCGGCTCAGGGGACAGCTCGGCCCCGCTGGGATTTAATCCCCCGCCGCCGTGGATTATCGGGGGCGCGGGGCTGCGAAAGCGGTTTAAATTAAAGACAGGGAACGTGGGGACGGGGGGAGGGCGTGGGGGCAGGCGGAGCCCAGCAGCGCCACGGGGCTTTGGGGAACCGTGATTTGAGCTGGGGACCGTCTTCCGCACCGGGAGGTGCGGTTGCAGCAGTGACACGGGGAGGTGCGCTGTCGGTGCTCGAAGGGGGGGGGGGGGGTGCTGAGTGCGAGGGGGTGAAGCTGGGGAGGCACAGCGGGTAATTGGGAGTTCGAGGAGCTGCGTGTTGCGGGGACGCTGGCAGCTGCAGAGTAGACGGGGCGGAGAGCGCTGGGGGCTGAGGCGGGGTGGGTTGGTGGGGGGTTGGTGAGGGAGGGGCGGGGAGAGCTGTGGTGCTGTGGGGGATGCTGGGAGCTGTAGTCCGGTTACCCGGTGCGTTCTGGGAGCTGTAGTCCTCAGTCAAGGAGACGTTGGGAGCTGTAGTTCTCCGTGGGTGCGATACAGAACCGCATCCTCCCGTGTCTCCCGCGGTGTTCGAGGCTGTCCCCGTGTCAGCCCTGCGCCGTTCCCTCACTCACAGCTTTATGTGCCACCTCCGGCTCGGCCAAGCCGCCCCTTCCCGTCTTCCACGTCCCCCATCGTGGGATGGGGTCAGCTGTCCGGCCGCGGTGTGAACGTGGGGCGAATTGGGCACGGGATGCGTTTAACAGCCGCGTGTGTCAATGAGGCGAGTCGGGACACGGGGCGAGAAAGCACAGCCGTAACCTCTGATCGGCTGCAGGACTTTGCTCGCTCGGGACAGCCACGTGGCCGGGTACAGGGCAGCGCCGAGCCGGGGCGGCGGCGGGGATACGCTGCGATCCGCGGTGTGTGCGGGGTTCCGTAGGTGCGGAGGGGAGCGGGAGCCTTTTTTTCTGGCAGGTATGAGGAGTGGCCGCGGTATGGAGATTTGGTGACAGGAGAAAGAGGAGGTTTGGGGGGACGGCTGCTGACCGCATCGCTCTGCCTAGGCTCGGCTGCGGTGCCATGGGGGGGGAACAGTCGCTGGCACTGCCTCCGGAGAAGGGACCTCACCGCGTGGGTTGCGCGGACGTCATGGTGGGCCATACGCAGCAGGTATGGGATGGGGGCGGGCGGGGCGGCTGCTGGGTATCGGTAGGGCTGAGTTCCTGAGGACATCTTGCGGCCGCTGCCAGGACGCACCACGTCCCCCGTCCCCTCTGTCCAGCAGGGGCTCTTCTTCCGCCTCTTCTACCCCTGCGTACCCCGGGATGGAGCCGAACGGCTGCTCTGGATCCCTCGCTACGAGTACTGCAGCGGACTGGCTGATGTCAGTGGCCACAGCCGGCGGTGGTGCGCTCCGCTGCTCAGCATCGCCGTCGGTGAGGGGCGGCCCTACCCCCATCCCCACGTAGGCATTCCCGTGTCTTCCACACCTGCTGCTTTCGTGGGCTTAAGGCCAATCCACCGGGCCCTGGAGTGAAGAGGAGCTGGGGTCGGTGCAGTGGGTCCAAGCAGTGCCTTGCTGCCCATCTCCTCGATTTTTCTTGGGGTGTTTTTTTTTTTTCTTGTCCCTCACAGGCTCCTGCAGAGTGCCACTCAGCTGGAAGGCACCTTTCAAAACCTGCAGCAGTGGGTACCCGTTGATCATCTTCTCACATGGCTTGGGAGCCTTTCGGTAGGGGGGGCTGGGGCTGGGATGGGAACTCAAGTACTGCGAGGTCCTCACAGTCCCTCACCAACCCATTGGTGCTCAAGACAGAGGCCTGACCTCATCCCTTCACAGCACTGTGTACTCATCCGTCTGCATGCAGATGGCATCCTGGGGCTTTGTGGTGGCTGCGCTGGAGCACAGGTTGGTGTCACAGTCCTTGCAGCCTCGAGAGGAAACCCCTCCCCAAATACATAGAAGGATGGGGGCCAGGCAAAGGGCTGCCTCACCATGTTCCCCTTTCCTACTTGCTGCTGCAGGGACAGTTCTGCTGCCATGACCTATTTCTGCACGGCAGAGGCTGTCCGGGAGCAGTGGATCCCCCACCAGCAGGTGCCACAGGGACAGAAGGAGTTTTATTTTCGGAACAATCAGGTAAGGGGGGGGATGGGAGGAACTGGGATGGGCAAACCAGGATGGATCACATCCCCACCCTAGGGGATCTACCCTTCCCAAACCTGTACTGTGTTAATACTGGGGCTGAACCTGAGCTTTCTCCTTGTAAACTGAGAAAAACCCACTCCACCCCATTTGTCTCCTTTTCTGGGGTCTGGGGGCCTGCTGGTGCTCTCCCATTGCTGTCTCTCTGGGATTACCCTGCACAGCTGATAGCAGGAGGGCTTCCTGCTGAGCGAGGTTCCCCGCTGCTCCTTTCTCTCTTGTTTAAAAGGGAAGCACGGAGCTGAGATCTGTGGCTGGAAGCCACTTCAGAACATGCAGAGCCTGGAGGTGCTTTTGGCAGTCTTAAATCCCAGCCTGTTATTTTTATGTGTGCTCAGGACTGGGATGTGAGCTGAGGGCAGAGCCTCGGTCTGAAGTGCAGCATCTTCTGGCAGCACTGCTGTGGCTCAGAATGGAGAGTGTTTGAGGGCTTTGGGTTATCTCCAGTGGTCTGTGGTATCAGATTAAGTGAATTAATAATAATAACAAAGAAATTTACTGCATCCCTTGGGGGAGCTGCTGTGGTGCAGCCTCCTGTTTGCTTTTATGCTTGCGGTAATTCAGGGAAATGAGCTGTGTCTGAGTGCTGGGGGTTCAGAGGAGAGCTCTTGGTGGGAGATGTGGGGAAAAGAAGCACCTGTGCAGACCTCCACAGGGTTTGCTCAGCTGATGAGGGCAGCTTGCACTGCAGGTTCATCACAGAGCAAATGAGTGTGCACGAGCACTTCAGCTCTTCCGGGCCGTCAGCAGTGGTAAATCCATCCCCAACATCCTTCCTCAGGGCTTCGACCTCTCTGTGTTGAAGGTACATGGGGCTGCAGGGCTGGCCTGGGTGCTCCTGGCTGGAAAGGTCAGGTCATGTTGTGTGACAAACAGGAAAATGCCTTCATTGTGGTGCACGTCTTTCTTGCAGGACAGCATTGACTTGGCTAAAGCAGCCGTCATGGGCCATTCATTTGGTGGGGTGACAGCTGTGCTGGCCTTGGTGAAGGAATCTGGGTTCAGGTGGGTGGCTCTGGGATGCTTCCCAGGGCTGGGAAGGCCACAAAGGGGCTATGGGCACATGTGCCCATCCCACCAGGTGTGCGGTGGCCCTGGATGCATGGATGTTCCCCCTGGAGAATGTGCTGTACCCTGAGGTGCCCAAGCCCGTGTTCTTCATCAACACCGAGAAGTTCCAGACCCCCGAAAGCGTGGCCAAAATGAAGAGGCTGAGCTCCAGGAACAGCCAGACAAAAATCATAACCATCCTGTGAGTCTGGGGTTGAGGCAGGTGCCTGGTCAGGAGTGGGAGGCTCTTACCCACGCTCCCTTCCCTTCCCCAGGGGATCTGTGCACCAGAGCCAGACTGATTTTGCCTTCCTCACCGGGAAGCTCATCCCCCGTGTCTTCAATGCGAGGGGCACCCTCGACCCCCACAAGTGCCTGGACATCACCACCCAGGCGGCTCTGGCCTTCCTGCATAGGCACCTTGGTATGGCACAGGTGGAATTAAATGGGGCTTGCGAAGGAACGAGGTTGGTTTGATGATCCCCTGTTCTATACGGCCATGAGCTGCCTGGCTGCCATCTTCTGGGCACGAGTGGCAATGTCCAGAGGACATGAGGAAGTGTTGGTTGGGAAGTCCTTGGGAAAGCTGCTGGTTTGGTCTCTTTCCTGCTCCTCTTATGCATGAAACTGGGGTGATTATTGTTGTAGTAACCCTGAAACCATCTCTGCCCCATGCAGATGTGAGAGAGGAGTTTGCTCGATGGGACCACCTCCTCGAAGGCATTGGGGACTCTGTCATTCCAGAAGCACCTTTCCGCCTCTCCAACCTGTAGCTTGCTGTTGGGATCCAGCTGCTGAGAATTCAGCTGCTCCTTGTCTAAAATGTTTGGGGTCTGCCTCCAAAGGGGAGGAGGACACTTGGGAGAGTGAGGCCTGCAGACTGTGCTTGCAAGACATGGCCATGATGCCCGCCATGCTTCCACGAAGCCCTCTCTGCCTGAGAGCCTGTGGTGGCTGCTGGAGACTGCAGAGCTCAGGGAATAAAACCCCTGGGGTCACAGACTTGAGCTTGCCTTGGTGATAGTGCCCTGCTTGCGTGAATGGGCCCTGTGTGCACTGCAGCAGTGGGGTTGCTGCAGGTGGGGGGGGGTTCAAGCAATGATCCAACACAAGGAAAGATGCAATAGGGCTCTGAGTATGGAGATGGTAAAGTCTGATCAGGGCACTTTGCAAGTGCAAAGCTGGGAGGAGTTGAGGAGCAACTAAGGCACAATCCTAGGTGTAATACCAGAGATGCTGGGACAAGGAGTGCTGTGTAAGGTGGCTCCCACCCTCAGCTGTCCCCAAGCAGAAGCCCGGTGCTTCTGGAGCTGCACTGGTGGTGGTCCTACAGATGTCCCCAGGCTCCCCTGGGCGGTGGGGCTTGGATGCAGCAGGACACGCTGTTCAGCAGCTGCTGCATTGCTGAGTGGTGTCCATCTGCTCCTCCTTTGTCCCTGCTGGGCATGCACATGGTGAGGGCAGTGTCAGCCCAGTGCCACAGCTCCTGCATTGCAGGGAGAAGCCATGGGCATGGTTCATAGCATTGCATGCAGCTAGGATGCCCTGGCTTAGGGTGTTGGGAGCTATTCCTCATCTGGTGACAGCAAACCTGGGGGAAAGGGAGGGGAAAGGGAAAGGAATGGGGAGGGAGCAGCATCCTTCCTCTGTTCTCCATCTGTGCCACTGCGATAGCCAAATCCTTTCCTCCTTGTCTCCTTTTAATTGAGGAGGTAAGGATGCTCTGGGGGGGAGATGCAACAGCAGAAGGGCTCATCTTCATGCAAAGCAAGGACTGGCATGGACAAAGCTGCAAGACCTCAATTCTTTTAGAGGTTCTGGATACATACTTGTTAACTGATTTATACCCTCTCTGGTGCTGGGAGCATACTGGAGCATCATGCAGCGTTGGGACCAAGGTATTGAGGGTGAGGAGGAGACACTTGAGGTCACTGCCTGCAGAGCCCATTGGGGGAACACACCTCTGTGTCCTACCTAACAGTGAGAGACAGTGACTGGTGCAGAAATCAAGTCCCATCTTCCTCCCAGAATTAGCACTGCTGTGATGTGCTCTGACATTGCAGGGAGTGGCTCAGCTCCTCGTGGCTGAGGGAGGCTATAAATTCTGCACGAGCCTTATGTAAAAGCTCGGGGGGGAGGGGGGGGGGGGGGGGATGACTGTGGTTGGAGGGCAACTTCAATATGTTAACCCTTCGGTGTGTTGAAAGCTGCTTGTTTCCACCTCCAGTGCCAGCCTTAGGCTCAGTGCTGCTTCTTCCAAACCCAGCCCAGATTCCCCCCAGTGGGCATCCTCCAGGCTGGAGTGTGGCATGGGGACAGGAATGGAGGATGCCAGGAGCAGTGTGTGCACAAGCAGTGACACAAATCCCCAGGTGTAGCACAGGGCAGTGCTGCTCACCCTGCTGCTGGATTGATGCACTGTGTTGCTGGACCTGGATGGAAGGCTTTTTTTTTTTGGGGGGGGGGAGGGGGACAGGAAGCAGCAGTTAAGGGTTACCATGATCTGGGAGCTGCTCTAGCACCCAACTGCTTATCAGCTCTCGGTCACCCTGTCCTTACATGTGGGGGTTTGTGTCTATTGGGTCCCACTGGGGGCTTTGCTGCTCAATGGGAGATCAACCCTCGCTGGGAGGGACTTGCTTCAAGCTGAGCTCTGCACTGTGCCTGCTCTGCTTCCATATTCCGACTGGTGGTTTATAAATAAATAAATAGCCCAACAGCTGCCCGTTTATATTCCTCTCACAGCTGTGCTTGCAGCGTGGCCAGGGTGTGAATGGGTGCATTCCTCTATCGCAGTGCAAGCTCTGCTTTCTGAAAGCTGCTGTTCCCAAGGTTGGGGCTGAGATCGGGCAGCACAAACACAGCAGGCTCAGGGCTCTCCATGCATCCCTCCCTACCCACACACACACACACACACACACACCAGCAATAAGCACTGCTGCTCGAAAGCCAGCTTTGTTCCATCGAAGCTTGCTGCTTGATTTAATTAATTAATGCAAATTGAGACTTGTGTTAAAGCCTCCTTTTAATTACCGTAACATCTAGTGGAGCGTGATTCTTTTTTCTTCCCTTTTGCTTGTGTTTGTTAAAGGAATAGCAAAGCCTGGATGTGCAGCACCCTGCCCACTTCCCAGCCAGCTCCTCTCTCCTCGCAGCCCTTTGATCGGTGAGTACACGCGGCTCTTCACCTTGCTCTGTTCTTTCCTTTGGCAAATCATATCTTTACTCCGGGTGAAGTTCAAAGGAAAAATCAACTTCCCTTATGACAGAAGCGAGTTGTTGTCATCGCTTCCAGGCTACCTGGAGGGAAAAACAGGTTTGTTGTTTTTTTTTTTGTCAGTTTTCACTCTGAAGCCCCATTGCAGCTGCAGCAATGCTCTGCTGGCCCTGGATGGGACAAGAGATGCTCCCTGAATAACAGAAAAAAGAAAAAGAGGATGCAGGGAAACCGAGGCACTGGAGGAGGAAAAGGGCTGCGTGAGGTCTCTCTAGTTTCAGGCTGTACAAAACACGGTGGAGGGATCATTTGGGGTCATTTCCCCTGAGTGTAGGAAGCACAGGCTGAGCTCAGACCCTGTGGGATGTGAACCACAGGTGCTCCATCAGCCCCATCCTGGCTGACACGGGGCCTCAGGATGCCTTTGTCTCCTCAAGTCCATAGCAGCTCTCTAACGACATCCAGCACCCAAGGCCTGGGTTGGGTTTCTGGTTGTTTTTATTTTTAATTAAATGAAGCACTTAGGTTAGCAGTCACAACGTAGGCATGTCTCTCTGGGTATTGATTTTTAGAGTACAGCAGCAGTTGGGTTTATTGCATAAAAGACAGCGATGGGTTTTCAGCCGGCAAGGCTGCCTTTGTTTGCCTGCTCTCGCAGCTGTAGTGGATGTGCCTGGTCTTTTTTTTCTCTCTTAATATATGTATTGATTGATTAGGAGTTCAAATTAGTGGGGGGGAAAAAAGGAATCAGACGGCACTGAGCAAATGTTAAGTGCAGGTATTGTTTCCATACTGATCCAACATACAGGCAGCCCACAGAGCCAGGGGGATGGAGTGGGAATTAACCCATTTTGAAGCCAAATTGTTGATGGAGATGGGAGAGAATTGCTGATTGTCCTGAAGGGATCTGGGGGGCTGAAAGCAGCTCATGGCTGGACTGCAGTGTGGAAAGATGCTTTAAAGTGTGTGTGTATATATATATTCAAATACACACGTGTATGTGTATATATATATATATGTATTTGGCTCACAAAACAGACAGGAATGGTTTGTGTCCATGGTGTCTGACACAGATCTCATCCACGTACAGCACTGTGGTTCTGTGTGGGGTGACATTTCCTTACAGTGCCCATTCAAAGGAAGGCACTGTAGGATTTTCCCAGGCAGCAGATTTCTGCAAGAAATCCATCCCTATAGGGCTCTGCATTGATTCTGTAATTGAATCTGCTTTGATAGCAAGCAGCCCGAAGCTCTCCATTGAGTGTTATTGCAGAGTTTGTTCCTAGTGAAAGCAGGCTCACTCTGGGGTTGCTACCAGCTCACCCACCTCATCTATTTGACACAGGGGAAGTTGTGCTCCTTTAAGAGGATTTCCATCCCTGAACTCCTCCCATCACAACACTTCCAAGCTACATTCTGTCGTGAAAGGGTGGGAGTATTTTTAACCATATCTCACCAGGGAAGTATTAATAGCACAATGGGCTTGCTGAGATGCTGAGAGAGCTGAAACCGTCGTTTAAATGCAAGGAACTAATTAGGAACCAGGGAATAATTAGTGCTATCCCCAGCTTTTCTTTCCCTCACTTCATTTGGAAAGAGTGAAAGCAAATGTCTTTACTGGAATCTTCCATCTCTACTGGATTTTTTTAATGACTTCTTACGTACCTCTCTTCCACCTGGTTGTCGAAAACATGTTGTCTCCTTTGCTCTATCCCACCTGCAGTGACTGACTGTCACTTCTGAAATGTAATTAGTGCCTCTCACGTTGGCTCACACGCACAAAAACCAGCATAAAGCCTGCCATAGGGCTTCTCAGCAGCCCCTCTCCATGGCTCTCCCACCCTCAGCACTGGGCTGTGCGCAGGCATCCTCAAATAGCAAAGTTCTCAGTGCTCCATATGGGAAACACAGATATGTGTGCTGGGAGCAGAAGGAGGAAAGCTGAGATGTAAGGATGAAAGGATGCTGAGAGTAAGGAGAGCGGAGCAAGGCGAGGAGACCCCCGGGACAGCTTTCACTGCACACAGACCCCTTCTATCAGGCAGTTCTCAGCACTGCTGGTGTCATGGAGGAATCCACCAACCCTGGAATGTTACCCAGTGTGAAGTCTCTGCTTTCTATTAACAGCTGGGTCCTTTCCCTCACTTTTGCCTCTCCCCAGCCACCTCACCTGATTGCCAGAATCTCGAGGAACTCAGCTGTTGTGCTTTTTTTCTTGCCCAGCCCCATCGCTCGCTGCGCCCTTCCCAGTGGGAGAGGGGAGGGAATTGAATGAAGCAAGTTCCAGTGAGTTTCCCAAAAAGCAAACCTGCAACAGAATTCAGGTGCCTTGTCTGATTGGAAAAAAGTCCAATAGTTTCCAGCAGCACGTGGAGAAGTGCAAAGGGGCTTGCTGGAGGTTAGTGCAAAGGCTGGGAAACAGGGAAAGGGGAAACCTTGCAGCCTTTCTCTACCCCTGAGCACAAGTTTCTTTTATTGCTGTCTCCTCTCGCAGGTTCTGATTGACTTGGATCAAGCAGAGCATTGGATTTCTAGCTTTAGGACGTGCTTTACTCATGCAGTGACCATTGCTAGTCTCAGAAAGTACTTGCTGCTGATAGCACTTACAAAGGTGCTTTGAAACATTCTCCAACTAACATATAGGATGTCAGCCTGTCCACCATGCTCCCATGCTTAAGCGTGGCACTTCAATGCTCACAAAGCACATTTTCTCACTGGAGATTAAATATTTTTGCAAGTTAAAAGAGCTGCCGTGGGCTGAGTTGTCACCTAATTATGTCAGTCTCTTTGTGGAGTATTTTGATAATCACATCAGAGGGGGCTCTTTAATCTTCGTGCTACATCTAATCACGTCACATCCCACATTTACACGTACAGGGAGCTCTCTGGATGAGCCCTTGGCTTTGCTGTTG